CTCAGCACCACATAAGCAAAAAGAAAAAAGCGGAAGTGGCGCTGTGGCTCAAGTGGTAGAGCGCTAGCTTTGAGCTGAAGAGCTGAGGGACAGTGCCCAGGCCCAGAGTTCAGGCCCCATGACCGGACCCCAAAAAAAAAAAAATCATTCAGCATTTAATTAATCTAACATTAGAACTAGCCATTTGGGGATTTTATTCCTTGTTTTTAACAGCCAATCCATCCAAAACAAAGCCACAAGCTATTTCAATCCCTCTGGAGATCTAATTATGAACAAGTTGTATTTAAAATTGCTACAGAAGGAATAGCCAAAACCAAGTGTTTCCAAGAACAGCTTGACAACCAGAAAAGATAAAAGACCAAAGGCCTGAAATTTAATCAGTCTTAAACCTTTCCTCTAGTCAAAACTAAAATACTATCAACACTTACCTAGTTGAAATGTTATCTAGAATTCGGTTATTCTGTAACTGAACAAATCCTGGTAACAAATCCTGATAAATATTATCTGGGTAGTCCTGATCCCCAATATTCTCTATTTCTAACACTTTACAGCAAAGTAACTGATCTACGTTAATTTCTAGAATCTATACAGTAACTAACTAGCTTCCCAATACCTCATTTCTGGTCATTCGGAAAAACAAGTAGTTCTAAACCCACAATTAGTTTATAAACCTTTCAGAGCTAAAAACCTTGCCTACCACACAGGGGTTGCTAATTCCCAGCACTGCCAAAATGCTAGAAGGCCTCGGGATGTAACTCATTGATTAAGTTCACTTGTCTAGCAAGTATGATGTTCTGGGGTTTGATCCGCAGCCCATCTTTTAAACAAGACTAATTTTTTCTTACATGCTTTACTTCTTCCTAATAACTTTAATACATTTAAACTATAATGTTTCATTGTAGTTTTTGTGAATACACACTATATGCATGAGTGGTTGATTCCCAAATAGCTACATATGACACTAAAAAGCTATGTAATTTTTCTAATTTTCACTCATCTTGGTACAGTAAATTGAACTGAGAGTGGATACCTCCATGCAAAGCATGGGCTCTGCCACTAAACTATATCCCGGGCCCAATCTTATTCAATCACAAAACTAATGGGTTTCAACCCTACCAAAAAGGAGCATAATACTTAACACGTTGTAGTTTAAAAATTTTTAGATGGACAGGACCAATGCCAAATTTTAAGTACTGCCATCTTAAGTTGTATATTTCAAGTTTTGTAGTTATTTTTCCGAAGTCCAGCTTAGCATTTTCAGTTACCTCCTGATTTCTGTAAAGGGGCTCTCTGAAAGGCTTAATCTTTTTTAGTAACTACTACTGGTAACTAGGTAAAACTACTCACCCACCCTAGGGAGTGGTAACTTCTTAGTTGTTACTGATTTAGTCTTGGCAGCCAACGTTTATGACTCAATTTTCTGTTGGTAAAAGATGATTAATACCTACCTCAAGCAAGGTTGCACTAAACTTAAATATTTCAAGTGATTTGTAACCTGAAGGTAAAAAGTCAGCTGTAATTACACTACAACGTTTCCTTTTACACAGATAACTGAAAATAAATATTCCCAGGATCCATCATTTGCTCACAGAGAAAGACAAATAATAGTTAAAAAACAAAATCAGGAAAATATTAGACCCATTGTTAAAATATGAAGCCACGTGACAAGATTCAGAAGCTCGCCTAAAGCTACCTACTAGGTAACCCTCCCCGATCCCCGCCCGATTATTAAGGCAATCGAATAAAGGTTATCAGTAATATATCAACCTCAATTACATTTTTTAAAAAAATCTCCTTCTTCACTTTCGTGTTATCTCTCGGCGTCCTGATGGTTGGAGAAAACGAAAAGAAAGCAGCCGTTAACACAAGCGGGAAGGGGGGGGGAGGGGAAGGAATTCTTTCCTGCCGACCGGGGCCTAGAGGACACTAGGTTAAACTCACGAAAACGCAGAGGCCTGTGAAACCCTCCCGCTTCAAACGTAATCACGCAACGTCCAGAGAATAAACGCGGGCCCTGCGACTCTACCGGGAGGACGGTGCCCTCGTTTTCTCTCCCACACCCGCTTGCGCGGCCTCAACCCGACCCCAGGAAGCCAGCCCTCCCTTGAGTCCACCCCCCTCAACTTACCTGAAGGCGGGAGGGAAAAGAGATTCTATTCGAATCTCCTACTCCCAGGTTCTGTGAGAAGTCGACTGCTCCTCGAGGTCGGCAACGAGGAAACAACCGTCCAGTCTTCGCCTCTTCACAAAATGGCCCCCGAGTCTCCTCTGCCGCCGAGGCGAAGACCTAGCCCCCGCCCCACTCCTGAGAACCGTTCTTATTGGCTGGCCCTTTCCTCGCTCCCACCTCTAATTGGATACTTCTAACGCCCTTCATAATAGTATCCAATCAGCATTAAAAGTAGGCTGGACTAAGTAAGAGAATTTCCACATGCGTGACAGGAGCGAGTTTGTAACTGGTTACATTTCATGTCATTTAATGCTTGAGCAATGGTTATTGGCCACTGTACCAGTTGAAGCGGTGGGTGGAAACTCGCCTTTGTATCGCGCTCTGCTTCACATCCGGGTATCTGGAAGATCTGACTGGCGGTTGTTTTGTCCTATCTCTGCTTAGTACAAGATCCGCCTACACCCCGGAGTTTGCGCGGCGTGAGGGCGGGGGAGGGGTGAAGGCTGTGCTCTCTCGCCTTCCCACAGGCGTTGGGGGAAAAAAAGCGCCAAAAAAAAAAAAAAAAGCGTTTACCTTTCTGTGTAAACCACATTTCTTAGAACGAGAAGGGAGCAATGATTACTGGACCACGTTAATGAATAGAAAACTTACAAGTGTTTCAACCCCAAGTTCCTTTTCATTTTTAGGTTGTGTTAGCTACCCAGAAGGTGACTCCCCTCTTCAGCCTGTCAGGCCATTCTGCAGAGAACACGTGGCCCATCCAAACCAGCTGACCTCCCTTTTGCTTTCCCTTATGAAAAGTAAAGAAGTAAATGCGGGCTTGTAATGCTACTGCGCCCATCTACTGGCCTCAAATTATTGCGCTAATCTAGATCAGAAATTGAGCTACCCCTCCAAATCCGGCCCCTTCTTCATCTTGAAGTGGCCTAATTCCTTCTGACACAGGCTATCAATCCCTTTCTGGTTTTATTTATACAGAAAAGGACGATTTCTTGGGGATCCGGTCGTGGGGTCTGAACTCAGCCTGGGCGCTGCCCCTCAGCTCTAGGCTAGAGCTCTACCACTTGAGCCACAGCACCACTTCCAGCTTTTTTTTTTCTTTTTGCTTATGTGGTGCTGAGGAATCGAACCCAGGGCCTCAGGCATGCAAGGCAAGCGCTCTACCACTGAGCCACATTCCCAGCCCACACAAAAAGGGCGATTTCTTACGTGTTAGGAGGGAACTATTATTAAATGGCTACAGTGTGGTGCAGAGCACTAGTTAATGTATTTGTGTACATTTTTTTGAGACGTGATTATGTACCATCATTCTATAATTGTTTCTCCGACCTTACCTTCTCAAATGTTGGGATTACAAGCATGCACAACCATGTCCAGTTTATTCGTGTACATTTTTAAGTAATTATGCAAAGAGGTTTCAAATCCACAAGTCAGATTGTGAATACTATGCATCTTGATCAGTGTCACTCCTTCCAAGTTCTTTTCCACATTTCCCAAACCCATCCATACCCTCAAGTTCCACAGTTCAGTGACAATATACATTTTTTAAAAGACATGTATATGTGAAGGTAGTTTACTTGTAGTTTTGAGTGTTTCTGAATTCCAGAGAAATTCACAAGGAAACTTACTGGGGGGGAGAGGGGGATTTTTTTCTATTGATAACCCTTTCTATACTATTTTATTTTATGTGTACTAATTTGACTTTTTTAAAAATTGGCTTAGGGTTGAGTAATACATTACTACGGTAGTTTAACAACTCTAACATCAGTTTAACAACTGATGTTGTTAAAAGTGGCATATTTAAAAATTAAAAGTGCAAGTGGAAAAAAAAAAGCATTGGGGGAAAAAATTAACGTGCTGAGGCTGGGAATGTGACTTAGTGGTAGAGTGCTTGCCTAACATGCATGAAGCCATGGATTCAATTCCTCAGTACCACATACACATACACAGAAAAAAAACAGAAATGGTGCTGTGGTTCAGGTAGTAGAGCGCTAGCCTTGAGCAAAAAAGGTCAAAGACAGTGCCTAAGCCCTGAATTCAAGTCCCAGGACCTTCCCAGCCCAATGTTAGTGGTTCTTTTCTGATCAATTCTGTGTGTTGTTTAAATTTTTTCTTTTCTGGTGCTTTTTCAAATATATTTTCCAGGGGCTGGAAAGTTGGCTCAGTGGTAGAGCGCTTGCCTTGCATGCCTGAGGCCCTGGGTTCGATTCCTCAGCACCACATAAGCAAAAAGAAAAGAACCAGAAGTAGCGGAAGTGGCGCTGTGGCTCAAGTGGTAGAGCGCTAGCCTTGAGCTGAAGAGCTGAGGGACAGTGCCCAGGCCCAGAGTTCAGGCCCCACAGACCGGACCAAAAAAAAAAAAACGATCAAATATATTTTCCAAATTGATAAAGCCAGGCACCAGTGGCTCATGCTCATAATCCTAGCTACATAGGAGGCTGAGATCTGAGAATGACAGTTCAATGTCAGCCTGGCCAGAAAAGCCTGTAAGACACTTATCTCCAATTAACCAGTAAAAAGCCAGAAGTGGGGCTGTGATTCCAGTTGTAGAACACTTTCTTTTTTCTTTTTTCTTTTTTTGGTCCATTGTGGGGCATGAACTCTGGGCTGGCACACTGTCCCTGAGCTATTCAGCTCCAAGTGAGCACTCTACCAACTTAAGCCACAGAACCATTTCCGGTTTTCTGATGGTTAGTTGGAGATAAGAGTCTCACAGACTTTCCTGCGTGGGCTAGCTTTGAACCATGATTCTCAGATCTCAGCCTCCTGAGTAGCTAGGATTACAGGTGTGAGCTACCAGCGCCTGGCTAGAACACTAACTTTGAGCAAAAAATTCAGGACAGCACCTAAGCCTCAGGACCAGGACCAAAAAAAGAGAGAGAAATCTGAAGAAAAACACTTACAAACAGTATACAAAACATAGATACAAATACAAAGGTAGATACAAATAGATACCAAAAAAATCTCCATAATTGCCTCAGTACTGTTTACAATTTATTTTATTTGTTTTCTTGCCAGTCCTAGGGCTTGAACTCAGGGCCTTGGCACTGTCCCTTAGCTTCATTTGCTCAAGGCTAGCATTCTACCACTTCAGCCACAGCACCATTTCCAGCTTTTTCTGTTTATGTGTTATTGAGGAATCAAACCCAGGGCTTCATGCATGCTACACAAGTACTCTACCACTAGACCACATTCCCAGCCCCAAAAATTTATTTTGAACTTCCTCATAAACCAGACACTGGTGGCTCATGCCTATAATCTTAGCTATTCAGGAGGCTGAGATCTGAGGATCACTGTTGGAAGCCAGCCCAGGCAAGAAAGTCCTTAAGACTCTTATCTCCAAATAATCTCCAACCAGAAAGTGGAAGTGGTACTGTGGCTCAAAGTGGTAGAGTGATAGCCTTGAGCAAAAAAGCCCAAGGATGGTACCCAGGCCCAGAGTTCAAGCCCCACAACTGACAAAAAAAAAAAAAAAAAAGCAAACAAAAAAACAACTACCCTCCCTCATAGAATCATGGTTAATTTTATACTCCTTTTCCTGGGTGAGAAGCTATTTGTGTGTGTGTGTGTGTGTGTGTGTGTGTGTGTGTGTGTGTGTGTGTGTGCGTGTATACAGGCTCTGGGGCTTGAACTCAGGGCCTGACATTGTCTCTGAGCTTTTTTTCCCCTCAGGGCTAGCACTCTACCACTTGTGCCAAAGCTCTACTTCCTACTTTTTGGTCATTAATTGGAGTTAAGAATCTCATGAACTTGCCGGGTGCTGGTGGCTCATGCCTGTAATCCTAGCTACTCAGGAGGCTGAGATTTGAGGATCGCAGTTCAAAGCCAGCCTGGGCAGGAGAGACCATGAGACTCCTATCTCCAATAAACCACCAGAAAACCGGAA